AGTGTCTTGAGTTGCAATGTTAAGTCATTTATTTGTGTTCTTTCGGATTTTCTAATGTAGGCATTTAGAGCGATAAACTTCCCTCTAAGGACCGCTTTCAGCATGTCCTGGAGGTTTTGTTGTGTTGTATTGTCCTTTTCATTTAGTTCCATGAATACTTTTATTTCTTTCTTAATTTCTCTTTTGACCCATTTATCATTCATGAGTGTTTTGTTTAATCTCCATGTGTTCATGTGGTCATTAGGGCTTCTTCTGGTGTTGATTGTAAGCTTTATTGCACTGTGGTCTGATAGATTGAATGGAAATATTTCAGTCTTTTTGTATTTGTTGAGGTTTGTTTTGTGCCCCAGTATATGGTCAATTTTGGTGAAGGTTCAATGGAGTCGTAAGTAGAAAGTATGTCCTTTGGTGCTTGGGTGGAATACTTGGTAGATGTCTGTTAAGTCCATTTGATATATGGTATTGTTTAATTCAGATGTCTCTCTGTTCACTCTCTGCCATGTTGATCTGTCTAATGGAGACAGTGGGGTATTGAAGTCCCCTACTATTAATGTGTTGGGATTAATCTGGGTCTTAAAGTCCTGTAGTATTGTTTTTATGAAGTTGGGTGCACCAGAGTTAGGTGAATATATGTTTCTGAGTGTAATATCTTCTTGATTTATTGTTCCTTTGATCAGAATGAATTGGCCCTCTTTTTTTTTGTTCATTTTACTTTAAAGTCTATTTTTTCAGATATTAGAATTGCTATGCCTGCTTTTTTTCTTAGTACCATTTGCTTGGTATATTTTTTTCTATCCTTTCACTTTGAGATAATGTCTGTCCTTGAATGTGAGATGAGTTTTTTGCAGACAATAAAAAGATGGGTTCTGTTTCTTAATCTTTTCACCTAGTCTGTGTCTTTTGACCTGGGAGTTCAGTCCACTGATATTTAAAGTTATTAATGAAAGATGAGTAGTGAGTCCTGTCCTTTTTATTTCTGTTTACATTCTTGATATAGCTGTAATTTTCCACAGTTATACCTTCATTGAATTTCTTTCCGAGCCCCTTGGTTATAGTCATTCCTTTCTTCAGCTCTTTGTATTGCTTGCAGAACTCTCTGAAGGGCTGGTTTTGTGTTCATGAATTCCTTCATCCCGTTTATGTCATGGAAGATTTTTCTTTCCCCTTCGACTATAATAGTCATTTTGGCTGGTTATAGTAATCTGGGTTGGCATCTGTGGTCATTTAAAACTGGGAATACTTTGGTCCAGGCTCTTCTGGCTTTCCCGTGGAGAGTTTCTTTTCTGGTCCTGTCTGTTTGGTGTTCTATATGCTTCTTGTATTTGTATGGGCATGTCTTTCTTTAATTTTGCGAAATTTTCTTCCCAGATTCTATTGAAGATCTGGTCCACGCCATTATCTTGGGATTCTTCTCCTTCCTGTTTGCTTATGATTTGTAAGTTTGGTCTTTTTATGGTGTCACGTAAGTTTGGAGAGTTAGGGTTAGAGAGTTGCAGTTACGGTAACGGGTTTAGGATTAGGTATAGTATTATGGATCGGATTAGGATTAAAGTTAGATTTCGCGTTATGGGATAGTGTTCTGGATATGTTTAAGGTTAGGGTTAGACTTAGAGTTATGTTTAGGGATAGTGTTAGCATTAGGATTAAGGGTAGGGTGAAGATTCAGGTTATGGATAGGGCTAGGGTTAGGGTTAAGTTTAGGGTTAAGATTTGGTTTTTCATGTTATTATTTTTTCTCTGTGATTTTGACATGTGAATTTCTTTTGTAGTTTCTGACTCTTGTGTGATACTCGGGCCTTCCAGTTTAGTTCTGCTTCTTTTTGTGAACTTTATGTGTCTTTGTGGTTTTTTTTTTTGGGCATGAAAAGCTGGTTGTTCTAAGCTTCTGGTTCTCTCTTTTGATTTTATATTGGAGTGGCCAGATTGGTTTTGTCTTCAGAAGTTCCCACAGAGGCCGAAGTCAGATGAAGATCAGATGCTCTCAGGCTTTCTCCTAAGGTCTGGATCCCTGTAGGAAAGATGTTGTCCTTAGGAATTTGTGGGTTGGACTGGCCTGGGAGCAGGGCCCAGGAAAGATGCTTGACTTGGGCAGCTGGTGGGCTTGCCACCCAGAGACACAAAGGGAGATGGGGGTAGGAAGAGGCCCCAAGGGCTCCTGGGAACTGCACTGAGGAACTGGGTTGTTCTGGATGTAAAGGATCAGGAAGATGAAAGGTCAGCCCCAGTACCCAGGAAAGAGGCTAGTGGGTTGTGCAGCCCAGGGAAGCAGAGGGAGGTGAGGGCGTGGTCAGGCCCAGAGGGCTCCTGGGGACCCCAGAAGGAACTGCGTTGGTCTGTATGCAAAGGATCAGGAAGCAGTGGTGGTTCCCCTGGTGCCTGGAGTGTCAAGACAAGGAATGGGACAGGTCCCAGGCTTGGAGGAGAGTGGCGGGGTAGATGGGAGGGTGAATGAGCCTGGGGGAGTCAAGGCTCAGAGGGCCCGATTGACTTACCCTGGAGAGAGGCCTGCAGTCCAGAGAGAGGCCTGCGTTTCATGCAGGCCCATGGAAGCAGTGTATTACCATTTTATTACCATTTTATTTTGAGATGACTCTACATTCACATGTTGTTTTAAGATATGACAGAGCTGTACACCACACACTTCCCTTTAGTGTTAACGTGTTATACCAACTGCAGCAGAGTGTTGTGGCCAGGAAACTGTCATTGATACAATCTGCTCTGGTTTGAATGGGATCCCCAAACCTAATGTGTTGGAAGCTTAATCCCCAGACAGCAGTGTCAGGGAGGTGAGGCCTCATGAGAGGAGGACATTAGTTTGTCTCTTGTGAGTGAATTAATGTTGTTCTTGCAAGAGTAGGCCTTCTTGTAGGAGTATATTGTGTCCCCTCTTGCTCTTCTGCTCTCAGGTGCCCTTCTACTCTCTATGGTGGAATGACTGCACAGATGCCCTCACCTTTATGTTGTACTTTCTGCCTCCAGACCTGCAGGCTAAGTCAACTTGGATTGTGTGTAAATTATCCAGTCTCTGGTATTCTGTTATAGCAACATGAAACAGTCTAGAGCGCTCCAGTATCCATATTTGGATTCACGAGTTTTCTGTTTGCTTTTATGTGTTTGTATATTTATTTAGTTCTATGAAATTTCACCCACATGTACAGCTTATCATTATTTTTAACCACAAAGGAAGTAAGTCTCAGATAAGTTACATGAACTAGTTTAAATGTAGAGGGAGTTCAAATCTTGGTCTGCCTTGTTTTTCAGTAATAACAATGGTAATTAATATGCAGATCTCACTGAGTCACATCTGGACTGTATGGTCTACTTACTACATGACAGAAACAACTGACATATTCATTCTTCCTAGCAGTTATATCATGTAAGTTATATCACAGTTGAGTTAGTGTCCTTAATTAAACCTGAAGCCATTTTACCAAGGAATAGACAATGATTATTTTTTTACAACTCCTGAAATCTATGGAAAATTAATGAAATTCTACCTTTTATATAATTTTGCATTTTAAATCTGTGACCATAACCACTGACTGACCTTAGCAATCGTTGGGTATTTTTGTGTGTGTGGAGATCTCTTTGTGTGGGAGAGAGTGAGGGACAGAGAGAATGGGCAGAAGAGTGAGTGCTGTGTTCCTTCAGGTTTTGTCAGTTGAGATATTGTAGAAATAGTTTTACTAAATTATACAGAAGATTAAGGTTGAGTGCCAAGTTTTTAAGGGAATTATTATAAAATATTAAGAATACTCAAGAATTTAATTGTAAAATTTTTTCATAGTCTCATTTAGGAGTTATTCTAAGGATTTCTTCTCCCTAAATACAGCCCCAGGGATGATGGTTGAATTTAGTCAGTTGTCCACAGTTACATATCTGACTTTCAGCGTGGTGCCTCATGCATTTATCTGTGAATCAGCACCAATATGTGTTAGAAAGATACTAGATCTACTAATCAGCAGCCCATAATTTACTGTCCTCTGTTCCTTAGATGCCTTATAAAGCTGTCCCTGTGATGAACAGCAGCACTTATGCAGACCAGGAGTAACCACTGTCCCATGTGTGCTGACCTCAGGAGGTCCTGGTGTTTTTGTAGACATCGAACAGAAATAAAAGGAATTTTGTCCTTTTTACTTCATGTAATCCCACTGGAAAATGAACCATGTGCTGTGAGCTGATACTGGCTTCTGCCAGGTCACCTCCCTGAAGAGTCTCGGGCAAGCACTGTTGCGCCATTTCTTGGACCAGAGTCTGGCGGCTTGTGATAGAGATGGATGGCTCCTGTAGTGGGCTACCGTGGAACACTGCACTGCTGTCTGCCTCCAGCATTCTGCAAGGCGTGCCACAGCAACCTGCATCTGCCACTGTAACTCTTTGGGAGTGGAATCAGATAAACATCATTTGCCTCAGATTTAAGCTCTGTTCTGTACACCATTTTTAAAAGCACAGTGACTGTCCAAAATCATGAAGCAGCATGTGAATCACCATGTGTGGTTGATTTGCAGAACTTATTTTGCATGTTACATAATGCAAGTATTTTGAAGCTATATGTTATTAGGATTTCTTTGCAAACTGCAAAGCCTTATTAACAGACCACTCTATCAATTTTCTGTCCTCCTAAGGAAGTTTTTCCTATTCATGACTCATTTCACTCCTTGGCTAACAAGGAGGAGAATGTAATAACGATTAAGGAAAGGAATGTACGCCTTTTCTTTTTTTGAGAACTGTACACATTTTCTGTCTCGGGTTATGTAAACTTGGATGACTGCAGAATGTTGACAACTGGGAAAGGTAAAAACTTGCCTGTTAATATATACTCCTTTGGAATTTAAAAATCAAAACACTTCCTCTGCTTCTTGAAAGAAGTGTTTTGCTTGATGGCCCAGAATACAAATCTAGTAAAAATGACATGTTCCAGCTGTCACTTACACACACCTTCAGTGAAATTAATGAGATCACCCTAAGATTACAGTTTGTGTTTTATTTTCATTTTATAGGTCTATATGAGTTGTTGGCTGCGCTGCCCGCCCAGCTGCAGCCACATGTGGATAGCCAGGAGGACCTGACCTTCCTTTGGGATATGTTTGGTGAAAAAAGCCTGCATTCACTGGTCAAGGTAAACCATGCTGATGTCAGAGTCTTTTTGTGAAAAAACATGGAAAAATATTTTGAGCACCATCTAGTAAACCAGAGATTAAATCGTTGCTGTCTGAAAACAAAACAGCCTTGTTCCATTTCACTGACGGGTGTGGAAGTTGTTAAAGATTCTACCAAAAATACATAGATGACTTCACTGAAGGGCAGCGATGTGGCTGTGCATGCTAATGTGGCAGCCTGTGGCTGCCTGTGTTTAGACAAAGAGCATGAAATAGTAGCAGCAAGGTTTAGACTCCTTTATGGTCAACATTCATGGGCTGGAATTTAACTTAAATAAACAAATGTTCACAGCAGAAATTAGAAGGAATATATTTTCTGAGGTCAGGAACGGCAGCAGTCCAGTAGCCACATTAATTTAAAATAATTTCCTTTAACAAAGTCAACTGAAATTCTAGTAAGCTGTTTCTTTTATTGGCCTGACTCCATTGAAATGGTATTTTGTAGATAAATACAGTGGAGCTAAATACGAATAGAAACAGTTTTTGGAGATGGTTTTAGTAAAGCCTCCCTCCACGAAAACGATCAGCCTTCAGGAACCAGACCCCGCCAGTCTTACAGAAACACTGGGAGTGACCAGCACTCTTAAAATAGTAAGATGAGAATAAGAAACTCACTGGAAAATATGCCACTCTTGCTCCTGGAAATATGAATTGCATTTTCTCTCATTTAACTCAAGCTGAAAGAAATTTAGAGTCTTTCTTGTGTCTGTAGGAGGTAGGAGTCTATCCCTCCTGAAATCTGGACCTATGCCTAATTCAGCTGAATTTGTTATGGTTGTCTGTCACGATGATAGGCTTTGAACTGATGTATAGTATCTGAAAATGGGCCATTTCTGAATTGCCATTGCATTACAGAACAGGAAAATTCTATTTGCTTCTTCTCCCGAAATTTGTGTACTCTGAGTAGCAACAGTTTTCAAGAATCGAAAGTTGATTCACAGTGTTTCCCTGGCAATATGCTTGGAGACTAGAAATTATTCATTCATTTATTTTTCCCCATTAGTGCAATTGTGGAGACGTCTTTGTGCTGTGATTCATTTTTGGCACTTTAATTTAGTTAATTTCTTGGAGCTAGTTAGCAATGGTCTTGGGATTAAATGGAGGAAGTTTATGACTTGGTAATCATAAAAAAATGTTTCTTGAATGTATGGAATTTGGATAGCTACACACACATACACTTATTTTATCATTGAAATGAATTTGAATTGGCATCATCCCTTAATCATTCCCTAGCGTGATAGATGTATATTTGTTTGTATTTATTTACAATATAGCTATGGTTTCTTGTTTTAAAGTGGAAGTCAGAATGTCAGCAAGCTGACAATTTCATTTAAATTATGATCATCCAAGTTCTTAATATAAGTCAGACAAATTTAAATGAATATTATTAAGCATTCAGGAAAAAGCTATCAGAGCATATACAGGAACAAAGAACTGCAGAAGTGGTGGTTATTTCTGTTAAAAGGACAGACCTACTGTCTAAAACAAATTCTTTAGTTACATTGGATAGTGTTTCTTGAGCATAGGCTGTTTTTCAAAGCCTGTAACAGTGGCTAGGAAACATCAAGAGGGTGTTAGCATCTGGTTCTTTAAGAACAGTGAAGTAAATAAATGGATGTTGCTGGTATTTAGATAGTCCAGGTGACATGTGTACTATTCCAAATGTTTTTCAGCAATTGCTACAAAGTGTATTTTTAAAGTGAGTTTTATTTTGTACCGCTAGAGTATTTGTGGTTCCTTCATACTTTCCCCTGCCTCCAGCTCTGATCAGATGCAGACCTCAAGTTTGTCCTCAGACTGACCTATTCTATTAGTTTTAAATATGTAAAGTCTAAAATGCCTCTAGGAGGCAAGCTCATGGGACCATAGCTTTAAATAACTGGAACAAACTACTTAACTGTATTCCAAGTGCCTCTGTTTAAGGCTTCAGGGTAGACGCCTTCAGCTTTTGTACATAAATTTTGCTGGAGCAAAAGGAATTTATTTGAAAAGATTTGCTATAGAGTGAATCAAAATGTGCCTTGGTTTTATGCTCTTTTGCCTGAAGTTAAAGCTGTTAGTATGTGATTTAGAACTGGTAAACACAGAATTTGATTTTATCCTAGCCAAAATTTTCAGTCCTCATGTATATATCTATTAAAAGGCAGTTATAAATTGCTACATGGTTTTCAAGGTTTTAAATACTCGTAGCCTTGGGGTCTAATGTAAAATATACTCAAGAGGAGGCCTTTTTGACTTTACAGTCTAAGCAACAGGTACCATACTACATTGGGATATTAGCTTGTCACAAGAAAGAAGTAAGATGTTCATAGCAATGTGTCCAACCTTCTGACATTGTAACACAGTGTTGCCGTCTTCAGAGTTCATGAGTTGTGCTCAAGAACAGCACAACTGAGTCACCCCCTGTCCCCCAAATCACAAAATAGTCTCATAATATTTTAAGTAGGTTTGCAAGTTTGCACTAGGCTGCATTCATAGCTACCCTTGGCTGTTAGATACCCCTGCAAGGTTTGGCTGAGGATATATATATATATATATATATATATATATATATATATATATATAGAATAACAAAAAACAGGGCCCAGCTCAGCCCCCCGCCATAAGGTTTTATATATATAAATTTTTTTTAAAGAAAAAAACATTGAATAGAAAAGCTGTGTAATGAAGACTGAGAGTGTGTCAGTATCCAAAGGGAGATAGTCCTGGAGAAGCCGGAGTCTCTCGAGCTGGGAGAGGGACACCAGATGTCTCCTCACACAGTCTACCCAGTTGGGGCGGGGTGTGCATTTCTGACCCATCTTTTGCAAGTACTCAGGGGCTGTGAAGTATGTATTTTTATGTCCTAACTCCTTGTTTAGATTTATTTTTTACTCTTATGATTTTTTTTTACAAATGCGATCTCATTGCTTAGTTTAAATTTTATTTAATTGTGCTTATGTTTATAATCTGATTTAAATTCATTTAAGAACAAAGGGTTATAAGAACTTGCTTTAAAATTAGATTGCTTCTTCTATGCTGAACAGGGATGCAGGGTGAGGCAATTGGGGTACCCCTTCAGTGGGTCAGGCTATCTAAAAGACTCCCAAATTGCATTACTCTTATCTGTAGGGAGAAAAGAAAGTCCTTGCCTGGTGAATAGGAGAAAAGAAAAATAAAGGCAACAGTAGTTAGCATTATAAGCTCTAGACAGGGAACCAGAAAAAAGTCAGAACAGGGTAAAAAGTCAAATGTTCATATTAAAGTCCATTGGGATTTCTTGACAAGAGCTTTCAAAAGTGTCCCTCTATTGGGTTCGTCCTCATTTTTCTTTTGTCTGCCAAGGCTGGACCTGAGAGTGATGGACTCAGGGTTTGTTTTCAGGCACTTTGATAGTTGTTGGAGTGGCTAGAATCAGTGTCAGTTCCCTCACAAAGGCTTCTAGATAGGGGGAGAAAACAAATGTAGCCATCATTTTATACCGATAGTGGGTTGTCTCCTCCCTTAGCTACACATGGTCACTACCATATTGCAGACCAGGATTTGAAGTCTTACATCTGAGCAGCACTTTCTGCTTAGAAACAATCATCAATGAGAAATAATTGTCTAAATAACATTTTATATGGACTTAAGCCTAATGTCTGGGAAGTGTAATCCCTTGAGTATACTGATCACTTTAACCTTTGGTTATACTTTCCTTTTGGGTGTTGAAGACCATACAGTTGGCCCAAATAAACCAATTTTGTTTTTTACTCTTAAGGTTGTTTGAGGATCTGTTCCTCAGGGGTCACATGGGTTTGGGAGGAGCCCCTGGCTCCTTTTACCAGTTCCATCTATGTGAAAATAAGTCAAAGGTCCTACTTGACTGTGATTGGCTTCACTTGGAAGCATGGAGGAAATGTTTCCTCTGAGTTGACCCTCCTCTTTGTTGACTGGACAACGGTTCAAGTCCTTCTGGTGTGTTTTCCATGGCCTCCCTGGAACTAGAGAACAGGTGACTCACCACAGTTATAGGACATAATGAGAGATGCTCCAAGGAGGGGCAAGCAGGGTCATTAGACCCTCACCAGAGTATCCAGCCACTATTCCTAGCCAACTGTATGTAATTTGGCCCTAATCACACATGGTCTCCTGGATTTGGGGAGGGCTAAAGTATATAATCTGGGGAAGGCTAGGAAGAGAAGGCTTGATCCATACAGGGTAAAGGCTTTCCAGTGTTCATACCCTCAGGTCACTCATATACCTCAGCAACACCTCAGTTATCTCTGTAAGTAAGCTCAGCAAATTCATTGATTCCCCAGGAAAACTTTAATTAAACATTGGTATGACACTAGAACCTTAAAAGGGGATAAATATTGCTTAGTATCCCCAGGAAAGAATTTTCAACAACAGATGGAAAATTTATTTGTTAATGTTATTATGTTTCATGGTTATTAAAGAAAATGAGAATGTAAAAGATGTTAAAAGGATATGGGAATAGAGATATTTTCCAAAATAGATATAAAAAATGTGAAAGCCTATGCATCATTAATCTTAAATGAAGAAACTTTCGATTTTGTTGGTTTTTGCTGTTTTTTCCTGTTTGAGTTTCATCAATTTCTGTTCTAGTTTTACTAGTTCTCTTCTTTATGTTTGTTTCTCTTTCTCTACTTTCCAAGGGTAGAAAGTTGGATCATCAATTTTAGTTTCTTCTCTTTTCCTAATAAATACATCTGAAGCTATAAGTGTTCCTCATTATTTTTTAGCATTTATAAATTTAGTAAGTCCGTTTTCATTTATTTCATGATATTCTTGAAAATTCTTTTTTAATGAAGTGTTTCTTAGAATTGTTGAACCTCAGATATATGGGGATTTTCCACACTGTTTCTGTTGTTGATTACTGGTTTAACTGCATATGGAGGGTCCATTCTAATTGATTTCCAGTGTTGTGAGGTTATGATTCTTTGAAATGTAAATTGTGTTTCATGGCCCAGGATATGTC